TCTCACTCAAAGCTGAGAAACGCACTCAACGACAGGATTCGGATGCGTCCCCTGCGGATCGACGCTCCGGATCAACCAAGTCGATGCAAAGTTCGTGAACCCTATATACCGGAACACAAGCTCAGGATCGAGCAGCTGAACGCGGTACGCAAGTTGTTGGGACTGGATCTTCGACATTTCGTTCTGTTTTTTTGTTGTTGTGAGATATTGTTATACTCAAGCCATGGGGTACTGCATGAGAAAATACGAACCTTGGCGTTGTCGATGGCGGCTTGCGCGTGCGCTTGTTGAGGTGTCTACAGATACAACATGAGGCCATTATGCATAAACGGCAGAAGGGAAGGAAGTGATCATCGAAGAGAAAATACGTACACCCATCCACGACCCATCGCCAGCAATCATATCATGATGCCTCTGGTAATCGTCAAGAGTCTTCCCCAAGTCCTCGTACACCTGGATCGTGCGTATGTACCCATAGTGTCCCAGCGCATTGCAGAGATAGAAAATGTCGGAGATGAAGTTGGGCGTTGCGGCTGAGGCGGTCAAGGGAATGAGATTTGGGTGCGAAGTGTGTGCGAGCAGATAGTTGAATTGCGTGTCGAGATTTTTTTTGGTGGAGGATGGGCATCAATAGGGAAACGTGTGTTAAGGTGATGGAACACCCACCCTTTGACTTGCTCTCCTCGACCCATTGCGTAGCTTCATCGCTCGTCGCTTTGATCCTCGTCTCCTCCTTCAGATCAATTCGGGTAGACACTGAAAAATAATAGGGGTCTATGCGGTCCATCTGTGCTCACAGAACAGCACCCAAAATGCATGCGATCACACAATAACATTTACAGGAATAGAGATAGTAGCAAGTCATGAGGCAGTCTGGAATTCATTAAGAGGATAAACGAACAAACCTTTGTATACCTCGCGTCCATAAATGGCTCCGCGAATCTCAGCAGCACGCTCTGTAGATTGACCATGAAGCTGTCCGACGCGACGGTGTCGGGCTCAACCTGCGCATGTGTTGATTAGCATCCCACTGCGCAGGAGGAAAAAGAAACGTACCTGCATTCCTGCACGTTTTACATTGAGACGCACTACCGTAGCAAAGTATTCTAATACCCGCTCACGCGCCTCAGGAGATGTGCGCACGAGGGTGTTAAATATTTGGAAGAGGGAGGACTGAACCACGGGTGCGAATAAAAGGGCGGGGAAATGAGTAAAACAATACAAGGAAGTATGAGCCAAAATCACTCGCCTGCAAACTTTTCAATGTCCCTCTTAAACTCGCATTCGACGATTCAACATCCGCTCGACTGCGATTCGTCGGGTCGCTAAAGTATGTCTGCGCAATACCTGGCTGTTGGTGCACGACGTAAGTCGGACCATCATCATCCACACGCATCACAAAACTACACTCACCCACTCCCGACTAAACGTCCCCAGCCTCAGCAGCGGGCCCATGAGAGACAGCCTCTCAAAGTTCGCAGCCGTCACTTCCACCCCGAAACCCTCGCCGAGCCATTGTGGCATTCTCATGATCATCTCTGCGATGGGCTTTACTCCGACGAGGGCTTCCATGCCGCCTATGACGCCGCGCCATGCTGAGTCCCCACCGCTTCCGCCGATGCCCTCGGATGGTATGGTAAGGGTGTGCGTGACGAGGGTGCGTACGAGGGTGCTCAGTGTGTTTAAAAGTTCATCCTAGGGGGAGATATAAGTTTGAGCTTGAGGAGGGAATGTATGTGTTCTACGATAGAATGTTGTGAGGTAAAGGTACACGCACTGGGTCTGTGAAGCGAGCGGCAAGGTCCTGCAAGAACGGCTGAACCTCTGTGGGAGCCAGCGTGGTTTGAGGGGTGGTTGTGGATGCATACAGAGGCGTAGATAGGGCAGAAAGGGAGAGCAGGGGTGTGAGCAGCTCGTGTGAACCGAGAGTTGATAGTGGGCGACTATGAATTTAAGAGAAAGTAAAGTTGGAACAGGCGGAAGAGAGACAGGGTAACTATTCAGTGACAGGTCAATTAGATATGAGGAGAACGCACTTTGCGGGTTGCGGGAACATCTCTGGCTCCTGAAGGTTAAGGCCTGTGTAACTGATGACGAGGTCTCTGAGCTTGTCGAGGAGTGCGGTGGCTTGCTGGGTTTCAGAGACAGGGTTCTGGGATTTTGTGAGATGATTTATTAAGGTGTAGAAGAAGTGAGAGTACCTTCTTGAGTAAAGTTGATTTGGCAGTGTTGATACGCTTCCAGCAGCCTACAAGGTACTCGAAGATGGACTGAGGAGGAAGAGAGGCGAGTACTGAGACATATTCGAGGTCGTCGCTGCATTTACGATTTGGTCAGTAATCATTTACAACTCATGCGGTGATCGATCGCAAATGTTTGGATAGGATCAATGAATGAGATACGAAAGTGGATGATAAGGGGCAACCGATGGAAGAAACTTACGACATGGCCTGGGCATCAAGCTCGAGGCGAGCGATGAGGAGTCGATCCACGATATCGTTCGTTAAAGTCATATGAGCTATTAAAGTTACATCAGTGAAACAAATGGATTATAGAAAAGACGTACGGTAACCATCAGACTCAAGTTCAGCCTGGAGATGTTTGAGCCACACGAGATCATACTCGTTTGCCTCGGCGGTTGATTTCTGTTCACCGACGAGGTACAATTACTACAGCAAAGAAGTGAAGAAAAGAAGTGAAGAGCATACGCTAAGTGTAACCTTGAGGACTGTAGATATTGTGTCGTGCTCCCATGTCTGGTAATCGACTTTGGGAGCAGGTGCGGTGGACTTCCTCTTCAAAGGGACATTACGTTGAGGGGGCGGTGTTGTTGATTGAGGTGGAATAGAAGGAGGTTTTTGTTTTGGGTGTGGAAGCTGGGCTACGGGGGTTGAACTTGAAGGCCCAGGAGAGGCGGGTGAAGGGGTTGGTGAACTAGACGTAGATCCTGCCTGTAACTTTGCAAGACGCTTTGCTCGGATCTGATGCACGAATTATCAGACATATTTAGCATAAATAAATGAAATAACCATACACGATCAGCATCGGTGGGTTCGCTCATCGTCCAGGTCGTCAATTAAACCGTAAACACTGCTATAGATGCCCTTTATATCAACACGTGACTAGAGTTCGCTGTCCATTAATAATCATACTCCTTTTCACCGCGATCTATCAAAGCGACTAGAAAAGAGACTAGGATATAGTATCGAGCTTAGATCGATCAATCATGGGAAGAACTACCACTCCCACCCCCGTAAGACGAACCATTTCCAGGAAGCCCACGAGTCTGCAAGTCCTTACCATCGAGCGCTTCCCGATCGTCGAAATCGTGTTCTCCAAACTCCGGCGCCTCGTCGAGGGACTTGTCATCGTCGTCCCAAGCGAAGCCTGCCGACCATTTCTGCACTTAAATGGGGTGTCGAATGGGGTGCGCGGAGAACCCATCTGTCCACCACTCAGGAGACTGGGTAAGGACATCAGTGATCCCGACGACATGGAAGTGTCCACTCCAACGCTGACTCCACTCGGAGACAGAGGGGAATTGATGGTTTCTGCTGGGGTCGTCGGTAGCGACCCAGATTGTGCTTGAGCCAGGAAAGCTTTTCCCTCTTTGGCATCGAAAAATTCTAGCGGGAGGCATTCATCTTCGATGTCTGACTTCCGCCTGTAGAAAGATGTAATGAACACCGGGAGCGCATGCAGGGAAAGAAGTTGTGCGTATGCATCCTCGAAGCCGGAAATGGCATTTTTAATGCCCTCTGTACCCAAGGCTAGCGTGCCGTATGGCAACTTGGTAGAACCAGATTGGAACCAGATATGCTCTTGAGCTCCGAGACCTTCTCCGACTCCTCTCTGCGCCGGATTCGACAGACTAGCGCAACGTCGAAGTTGAGAGTCACCTTCGAGGCACCATTTACGACCCTTACACCCGTTGTATCGTCTGGGAAGGCATCATGGGCAAGTACGAGGACAAGCTCGACTCATGGCTTCGCGTCCTGACGAACCCTCCGTTCAACCCCTGCAAACTCACCGCGAGCAATGGCTATCTTGGACTTTTGGGCGTTGCATAGAGTCTTGGATTGTGGACCCATATATGCTGGGCTCCCATCCCACTGGAACCACGAGGATCGTAATGAAGGAGATCCCGGTTATGATGAAGATGACCTTGAGGTACTATGCTTTCTGACTTTTGAAACGGTCCTAGTTAACGATCAACTTAGCGCGGGCCAGGTTTCAGTGACAACGACGGTTAGTTACTGTCGTTCTCGCCTGCACAACCACCCACATCGTCAGACAGACCTTACCCCTTTGACATGTTTAACCTGAACTCATCGATTTATCTTAATTATTCTTAGCCAAGTGATTGACAGATTCGAGATCTTCTCGTCTGTTAGCAACTCATCCCTCAACTCATCCCTCAACTCATTCCTCAACTCTGCGCCTCGACGCCTGCTGGTGTTTCATAACCTATTTCCATTCATCCCAGACTCATTCGCATTTGTTCGCGGTCGATCGCGCAATATGCCGCTATCTCTCGGTCCCTGCTGCTGCTGCTGCCATACACAATGTGTGTGCCGTTGGAGCGGTTGGGCGGTCGCTCCACTCAGTCAGAAATCCCTGGAGCAGTCAGCTGATTGACGAGGATTCGACAAGAAAATTCGCTCACTACTAGATATTTTAGGGTTCGCGTTCGAACCCAAAAAAAAACCGAACCTGACCGCTCCGAACGGCTCGCGAAGGTTCGGTTCTCGGTTCTTGCTCAACCCCCGTTGAACCGGACTGAACCGGACCGCGGCAGCACTATCTTAAAGCGCTAAAGTGGCATGAGGTCCGCTACTAGCTAGTTTGGTGGAGATCAACTTAAATCTGTTGAAATTCCCCGGTTTACATACTTACCAGTACCCTAAAAGGGTCCTAAAACTCTACCCTAACTCCATTGGCACCACATGAAATCGAAATCGATTATGATTCCTGCAGGCCTGATCTGAGATAACACGTTAAGGTTATGTTCGATTGGTCGAAGGAGAGCCGCTGCTCCTTTAGACAGTATCGATCTTTGTAGGGTTATGGCATCCTCTTATCATCACCGCTTGTGCTCTGGCTCTCATATACTCGAGCTCATATCAAGACCATTAATCCCTCGACTTACAAGATGGACGCTCGACCCACATCTATCTTACATAGAACGCCATGGACACCTCCCATCGCCATCGCCACTGATGGTATTTACATCGATCTTGAGGATGGTAGACGTGTCATCGATGGGATCGGCGGTGCTGCCGTGACTTGCATCGGTGGAAACCATCCCAAAGTAGTCAAAGCCCTCAAAGATCATATCGATGTCATGTCCTGTAACGTCCTTCTCTTCTCTCCTTAGCACCAGTGACTGATTATGAATAGATGTACACAATACGCAGCTTTCCAGCCATCCTGCGGAGGAGCTGGCTAAACTGCTCGTGGATACCAGCGATGGTGCCTTCGAGCAGGTCGCATTCCTATCTGGAGGTATTGTCATGGGGCTCTGCTTGAACCTTACTGACTTCTACCATTACCATTTTAGGTTCTGAAGCGATGGAGACTGTCATCAAACTCTCGAGACAGGTACGTTGGTATTGTGGGGGCGTAAGTCAAGGGCTCATGAACAGCGATGCAGTATTATATCGAGATCGGGCAGCCGAAACGAACAAACTACATTGCCCGTCAACTGTCCTTTCATGGAAATACCCTTAGTACTCTGTCCCTTGCATACCATCCTGGTCGCCGTGCACCGTATGAGGCTATTTTAAACCACCAGAATTTCCACTACGTTTCCCCAGCGTATGCAAAGAGGTTCCAAAAACCAGATGAGACAGAGGAGCAGTACGTTGAGCGACTCCGACAAGAACTCGAGGACAAGTTTATCGAACTCGGCCCCGAGACAGTAATCGGCTGTATGTCATTGTCGTCAGTTTTCGCTCCTTTCAAAACTAACGATCGGTAGTCGTCGCGGAGACTGTCGTTGGTGCGACAACAGGGGTTGTGAGTGCACCGAAGGGATACTTCAACGCCATGAAGTCCGTCTGTGACAAATATGGTGCCCTTTTCATGCTCGATGAGGTAATGTCTGGCATGGGCCGTGAGTGATCTCGATACGTTGGTCTTGACCACTATTGATGGTGAAGTTCGCCAGGAATGGGTACTATGCACGCTTGGCAGAGCCTCGGTGATGGTGCTGCACCTGACCTGCAGGCAATAGCCAAGGGTTTGGGTGGTGGGCGAGTGTTACATGTCCCTTCTCTTTTAATGTTACTGATTGGGCCACAGTTACGCTCCCATAGGTGCTGTTCTCATCTCGCCTAAAGTGGCGAAAGGGATCAGGGGGGGTTCCGGACAACTCAAGAACGGTCACACATATCAGGTCAGTAATGTGAGGCCATCAACGAGCCGGTCATTAACATCTATGCTGAACAGGCAAATCCACTAGCATGTGCAGCGTCTTTAGCTGTGCAAAAGGTCATCATCGAGGAGGATCTCCTTGCGCAATGCAGAAAGAACGGTGCACACATGATGGCGCTTCTGAAAGACCGTTTACAGTCCCCGAATGCTCTCGCAGCGCCATATACATTCGATGTGCGCGGGGCTGGGGCTTTCTTTGGGGTCGAATTCGACTTCTCCAGCCCCGAGGCACGCTGTGCTGATATGAAGGGACCAACGATTTGCAATGGCGGTACAGGCATGCTGCTTTAAGAATGGACTTATTGCGATGGGTATGGTTGGTGGCTCCTCACTCGATGGATCGAAGGGGGACCACCTCATGCTCGGCCCTGCATACAATGCAACCACCGAGGAGATAGAGAAGATTGTGGATATTTTCGTGAAGAGTATTGAGGAGGTGTTAACAGAAAATTTATTATAATTGTCGATCACTCCTGTACATAGCATCATTTTTTGTGAATGCAGTGAGCATTCTTGCTTAGTAACCCAAGCCCTCGGCAATCGGGGCATTCCGCAACTTGGCATACGCCTTCTCCAGGCGGCATCTACCCGAATTCGAGCACCGGCTTTAACATTGCGTCGACGCATCGTTTCTTTCTCATTGACCACTAGCTTCCCAACATCTAGCAGAACCTCAGAACTGATGGCTGGGAGCATGTTCTAATGGACCATCAACCGATCCATCAGCAAGAAGCCACAAGCTCCAGTGTATCCTTGCAGCCACTAGAATCAGAACAAGCTCAATTTCCATCAACATCGGCGTCGGTATCAACTATAGATTCCAAGCCAATACGTTCTAGCGCAAGAGTGAAAGCAGTGGGAATCCGTAGTGGGAATAAGTGGTGCCCAGTAAGCATGTGCAGCATCTGTTTCAGCCACAGTCCGGAATTTGAATCGTACGCGCCGATTTCCGACCCCTGATAATTTCTATGTCTTATGAGCGCATATGTTGCCGTGAAAAGTCCTGGGTTGTGCAGGCTGATTGGCATAGTCGAGTAACATGAGCGGTGGCACAGTATATGCCACAGATTTCCTCCTCAATCCAAGTCGGGTCTTGAAACTAGGACGGGAAGGTTGCCACGATACAACTTGAAGTTGTTCCGAAGGGCAAGACGTGGAACCTTGTCTGGTTTCCGCAATGTGGCGTGACACGAGCTACAGACTCGGACGTTCAAACTGACAGAGTCGTGGTTCACGGATACAACACCTGCTTGGTCCAACATCAGGCCATCAATTAGCGGGACTAAATGTGAAACGTTGGACGGGACAAACTTTGCACGATACATATTTGATGATAGAAATATCAGTACTGAGTACATAGTCACACGAAGCGCAAACACTAGATGCCCTTCATATCAACATGTGACTAGAGTTCGTCCCCTTCTAGTAGCTGTCCATTAACAATCCTACTCGTACTGTTCTTTTCACCACCAGGCTCCGATCCATCAAAGCGACTGGAAAAAAAGACTACGGATATACAGTAGCGAGTTTCTATCCCAATCAATTATAGGAAGAACTACCACTCCCGCCCCCATAAGGCGAACCATTTCCAGGAAGCCCACGAGTCTGCAAGTCCTTACCATCGAGCGCTTCCCGGATCATCGAAATCGTGTTCTCCAAAAACTCCGGTGCCTCGTCGAGGGACTCGTCATCGTCGTCCCAAGCGAAGCCTGCCGACCATCTCTGCCCTTGAAAAGGGTGTTGAATGGGGTGCGCGGAGAACCCATCTGTCCACCGCTCGGGAGACTGGGTAAGGACATAAGCGATCCCGACGACATGGAAGTGTCCACTCCAACGCTGACTCCACTCGGAGTCACAGGGGACTCGATGGTGTCTGCCGGGGTTGACCTAGGTTGTGCTTGAGCCAGGAAAGCTTTTGCCTCTTCGGCATCGAAAAGTTCTGGAGGGAGGCGTTCGTTCTCGATTTCTGACTTCCGCTTGTTGAAAGATGTAATGAACACCGAGAGTGTGTACAGGGAAAGAAGTTGTACTTCTGTACCCAAGGCCAGCGTGCTGTATAGCAACCTGCTAGAATCAGATATGCTCTTGAGCTCCGAAACCTTCTCCGACTCCTCTGCGCCAGATTAATCAGACTAGCGCAACGTCGAAGTTGAGAGTCACCTTCGAGGCACTATTTACGACCCTTACAACCGTCGTGTCGTCTTGGAAGGCATCATGGGCAAGTACGAGGACGAGTTTGACTCGTGGCTTTCGTGTCCCGCCGAACCTTCTGTTCAACCCTGCAAACTCACCGGGAGCAATGGTTATCTTGGACTTTTGGGTGTCGCATAGGGTCTTGGATTGTGGGGTCGCGTCTCACAACTGGAGGCTTGAACATGATAGAACCTTGTGTCCATACCATTAGGCAACTCTCGTTCACGCTCTGAGCTGTCGGATCGTGTTCCCGAAGGCCTTAAGATGACCACCATACAACCGTGTTTCTTCTCTGGGACCAACGATTACGCCTGCAACTCATCCAATAAAACTCTCGAAGTCCAATGGACTTCTGTCACTTTGTGACTTCGTCATTGGGCTATTTTACTTCATAAAAATTGTATAATATCAATGTGATCAGGCTTGCCAATTGAAACATTTTGTATCGTGCATTCTGATTAATATTGCCACTTGCTGTTGTGAAAGGCATGCGCACTATCTCCACTTGAGGCTTTCACATTGACACGATTCGATGTGTAAAACGCTCTTGAAAAATTGGTGTAACTGAAAGCGACAGATTGCATACATATACTCATCTACATTGAGCACACTTGTGTGCGCCACATCAGGGAGGTTGCATATAACATAGACAAACTGAAACAAGGAGCAAAGTGGAAAGTGGAAACTACTGGCGATATCTAGCGTGATTGAGGCTTGTCGCATACTTCCACATAGTTTCCATCAATATTGTCCCAATGTTCACGACGTATGCGACCATCCAGAGTGCAGTGACGGCGCGGCAGATCATGCTTTGAGAGGAAAAACCTGTTATCAACATCGCTGGGGTAAAATACATGAGGGACCGGAGAGAGCCTCAAATGACGGGACAACTCACCAAATATGAAACAATGTAGGGACCAGGCGACGAAGAACATGGGGGTGACTATTGACAACAGGTAGGACAACACGAAGTAGCCGCCTGGCTTAAGTTGCTAATCACATTTAGATTAGTCAGTGCAATCAGTACGGCGACAATGACCCTTACTAGTACCTCTTGAGTCCAATGCCGATCGGTGTGTAGCCAACATATCATGCTCGAGCCGGACGTTAACAGCGCAATCATAGCGAGCATGAGCGATATAAAGAGCAGACAATGGGGAGCGGGTGATGTATAGTCAAAGTATGACACAGGGGTGCCCGTAGTGACGAAGACACCACTTAAAGCGAGGATAACGCTTGCCTTTGTGGGAGAATGTCAGCATCGGCTAGAGCTCGTGGCGCCCGCGGAGTTGGATAACTTACTGTGGTGATAGTGCTGGCCAGGATAGAGCACAACTTGCTCCTAACGGTTTCGAACGCTTGCTCGGATTGCAGCGACCTCCAAAGATCATTAAGATCTGGGCGCCCCAGTGCCAAAAAACAGAGTACCCTCATTAAAAGAGGCGGGCGACGAAGAGCTTCGGGAAGGGGTTGTTCTTCAGCGAGTGCTCTTGGGTCACCAGTCACATATAACTTGAGGGGCAAACGTAGTTCAGTGATACAACAAGAATTTCCAAGTTTTCAAAGCGCACCTCAGTGGAATAGAGTGAGGCCATGGAGTCAAATGAAAGAGTGAAGATGGACTAATGCTCATACTGAGAACAGGGAGTTGCAACCTATTATAAAGGACCGGCGGATGAAGCTGTGATATGTAATGTCTTGATTGAGAATTCTAACACAATGGAGGGGGCTCTGCGTCAGTGATGTGCTTGTCAGTGCATAGCGTTGCGATATTTTGACGACCAAGGCCAAAGATCCGGAAGTGGCATGAGGGGGTCCGCTAGTTTGGTTAACACCTAATCGAAAATAAACGGATCGAGGAACTAGTGAGAAAATAGACCCCAGAATAACACCAGTTCTCCGCAGGAATATTAACCGAATCATCTGTTAGAAACAGGACTCATGCCATGGGAGGCATCTAGGGTTGGGTCTATTTTCTCACCACTGCCAGTCTCCAGACTATTCGATCCGCTATCTTCGATTAGGTGTTTATACCAAACTAGCGGACCCCTCATGCCACTTCCGGATCTTTAGCCTTAGTCGTCAAAATATCGCAACGCTATGCACTGACAAGCACATCACTGACGCAGAGCCCCTCTATTGTGATAGAACTCTGTCTAACATCGAGTCTATTTTTGCACCACCAGTTCCCCTGCATCCACAGGATTCAGTCCTGAAGCTTGAAGGCCTGACATCTAACCGGGGCATCAATAAAATGTACAGCTTTAAGTTGATCACCACCGAACTAGCGGACCCCTCATGCCACTTTAGCCTTGGTCGTCAAAATCCCCCAGCGTTATGCTGACTTCTTTCTAACACAAGCACTCTGCTGATGCCGAGCAACACCCATTGGCTGGGTGATAGAATTCAGATGATCTTACCACGAGGTCAATTCCTTTCTGCCCCCTACACTAGCAGCGCAGCAGCGTGCCCCATCAAAACAAACAATACTTGAACTGTCTCCTGTGTTTTGACTGTAGCATCAAGGTTCCCGTTGATGCTCCTCGATTCATCAGTGTATCTCGAAGAACGCACACACAGAGGCAGAGACAGGAACGAGAAAGAATTCTGACGTATCAATGGTTCTTGCGCCAGTAATCCGACTATTCGAAGTAAATATTGGTATATTTAAGGTAAAGCAACCAACTAAATACTTCTCTACTGTTACAAACCAAGCACGCAGTACCGGAGTGTCGTCCACCCCGTTATTGGGCTGAAATTTACTGTACATCCACACAAGCGCTAAAGATCCCAATTCACGGTAAAAAGGCGAAAAGAAAGAGTAGAGACTCCTGACGGTGTCCGGATCATTGTGATCTGAGGCCTTTCACATACCTCCACGCGAATTCCGTCAACATTGCCCCAATGCAGATAATGTATATGACTAGCCAGAACGCGGTGAGGATGCGGCATACAGTATTTTTGAAGTTAAAGCCTGCTATCAACATCGCTGTGGACGAAATAGCACATGAGAACCCAGAAGGAGCACTGAATTACTGGAGCTCACCGAATATGAAACAATTCAGGGACAAGCCAACAAATAATATGGGCATGATGATCGATAGCAGGTAGGAAAAGAGGAAGTAGCCGCCCGGCCTGAGTTGCTGAAAAGATGTCAGCCGATGTCCTGAGTAAAGCAAGAATGCCCTGACCTCTCGAGTCCACTGCTGATCAGTGTGTAGCCAGCGAATCATGCTCAAACCAGATGTCATCACTGCAATCATGGCCAACATGAGTGACATAAAGAGCAAGAAATAGGTCGCGGGTGAGGAATAGTCAAAGTATGGCACAGGAGAACCTGTGGACACGAAAACACAGCTTGTCGCGAGAAGCAGACTCGCCTTGTGAATTTTCGACTATTTCAGCAGCAGCTTGAATTCGCAGAGTTGAATAGCTTACATGGGAGATAGTGTTGGACAAGATAGAGCACAGCCTTTTCCTCACGTCTTCGAATCCTTCTTTGGATTGCAGTGACTCCCAGTGGTCTTCAAAGTCGGGGCATCCGAGTGCCAAAAAACAAAGTACTCTCGTTGAAGGAGACATGTCACGAAGGGATGCAGGGATTGTTTGCTCTTCGGTTAGTTCATCAGGAGTCCCGTGGAACGTGATAACCTAGCGTCCTAATTCAGTTCTATGACAGCAAATCTTTGTTTTCAAAACGCACCTCCGGGAAATGCTGTAGGGCCATGGTGAATGCCACGTTAAAGAGGGGAGAAAGGTGGATTGATGCCACGTCTCGACATGGTAGAGACTTTTGTATTACCCAAATCCTTTGCACACGACTACTGCGAAGACATGAATCTGTATTTAGAATTGAGACGTGATGGACGTAGTAGTACTAGTACGCCGCGTTACGAAGTAAACAGGACTAGTATGTAGCGGAGTTTGAAGATCTTTCCTAATGGTTCATGAACGAACGATTTTCATTGGCTGGCTCCCACGCGTTTTAATTGCGCAGGCGGCAATCCTGTGTTGTGACCGGTCAATATCTCAATTACGTCATGAGTTTTGCGAAATTTAGGGCTTAAGCTATATTGGTTTACACAACTACCAGTGCACGCTGAATATCACGTTGACGGCCGAGCCCGCGCATTTGAAAACGCTACTTTCCCATTTCTTCCCCCTAACCATATTTACGTACCCAACCACCTCCGTCGGCGATGTTGATTGTGATGATTCCGAATATATTGACACTTGACAGACACACCTTTCAATTTGGTACTATTACGATAGGAGCTTCAGTAGAATTGGAGGACCAGATGAGTTGAGCTGTTAATACCAGGTCCAATTGGATATATGCGCACTTGTCGGAAGCTTGCATAATCAGATAAGAGTTCCCACTACACTTATGCCCACGCTGTACAAGTAAGTACTCAGTACTTTAATCATCAAGGATATCAACATGTTTAAGTGTGCGAGTCCCTCAAGGTCCGATATCCCTACTAGTTATTCTGTCGGATCACTCAGACTCGCAAATTATCCAGCCCTGGTCCAACCAGGCCTGTGTCTGCAACGGAAAGCACCTACTTCTCAGGCTGCTCCCGGGTCAGCCCAACCAGTTGAGTGGTTGATGTTTGTGAGTGTATCTTTTCGTCCAGTCAAGTCATCCTTATTATAATTTACACCATTGATACTGGGCAGGTCGGTTGTTGCATTTTCCCGCCCACCACAGCAAATCCATACTGCTGCTAATGATACGAAATACTTCTAAGGGCCTCATGGTATGTTGTGTAATTGATTTCATGTGCATATAGTACATTTACATTGATTATGTAGAACATACGACATGTGAGAGCGCCCTAGTAATGAACGTCAATCTAGAGCAAACCATATCCAGGAGGAAACATGGCGTCGCATACATCAACCGAAACATCAAATAGAACTGCACACGCCCACTAAAAAGCGAAAACCCTAGACCAAAGACGGGCTGGTAACTGTGGACGACTCGGTAATAGACACGTACGATGCTAGAGTCGACCTCAAACTTGGCAGCAAGGTGGAGCCACATCTAATGATCAAGCTAGAGGCATCAACAACCACGTCGGAAGTAAGGTTCGCCATTTCGAAACCAAAAAGAGAAGACATGATCTTCCAGAGAACGACGATTGTCCGCCAAGTAAGCGAGAATAAATAAATTGTCTGGTGAGTCAACGAGGGTAAATATATGTACCGCTTTGGATCTTAACGCCTGATGTGTTATTAGATTTCTATCCACTTCAATCTGTACTTAGACGTCTATTACTACCTCATTCATTGTCGATTTTCACTGGGCCTGAATATTTGTCCCTGACTTCGACTATTTTTACTTTTCAATGTCGAATTAGCTGAAGAGCCGCCAACTGCGGACGAATCTGACACAGTTTCCTTTCGAGTGTCGACGTGCGCAGCCAGTAAGATACATGCTGTGTGCAAGCCTTATCGAAATGTCCTTGCATCAATCGCCGGAATGAAAACATGCAACAGATTGGCACAGAGAGAGCTCTTGTTCTGCATGGTTGGTCTTCTCTCATCGCTCTATGGTAGTCATAACGTCGGTATCTGTGATTCTGACCTGCGATATAGATATATCATGTATAACAGCAACACCTCTTTTGTCATGCTATACCGAGCTCTCTTGCCAAGATCTGGAGACCCTGTATCATCGCATTCATCAAAGGATGTATAGACATATAGAAAAGGCAGCCCACCAAGTGTTTACTGAAGAAACGCGAGATTCCAAATGTACCGTTAGCAAACCAAAGTCCCGGATGTCCAGAGGGTCGATATGTCTGATTAACTTCTCCCTCTGAGTCAAGGCCCCACACCTCAGGTGGAAGTTGATCGGTAATTTCATTGCCAAGAAGAGCTCTCATAGTCTTCATGATGGGTTCATATCCTGTACTGCAACATACGTGAGAAAGACCAACCAGAAACTACTAGTCAGACCATACGCTAGGACGATAGCATCTGCTGAAAGCTTGGAGCCGTCTTTAAACGTGATCCCATCTTTGTCGAGGTGACTGATATCTTGACCTTGCTTTATCTGGGCATATATCGCAACAATCTGACACAGCTCTCAGACAATGAATACAAGTCCTACCTTAACTCTGCCTTCGATGATTAGCTTACCACAGCCAACGTCAAGCACTGTATGGTGTTTTAAGATGTCATTCTCCTCAAGAACAAATCCGAACGCACTGGTTCCTGATGCCCGGCGGCTGAACACAAATCCGTCCACCCCAACCTCGCCACTACCGGGCGAAAGTTCCCAAGTTAAGTTGAATCCAGCCTTGCGCAAACCATCATGGAGTTCCTTGTCGAGCATCTTCGTGTGTTCTATCCCACCTGATATTTTCAGTTGCAGGATAAAGGCCATAGGCATTGAATTCATGCGGAAATCCAGTTCCTCGACAGGGGTGCCGTCAGGGAAAGGCGACTTAAAGCTTTTCTCTGCGGTAGTCGAAGATACAACACATGTGGCGTTTCTTTGGACCATTGTTACCTTTCCTTCTTTATGAAATCATGACTTTGATATAGTGCAATACATACACGCACCTCAGTGGCACCATGCGCTACGAAATCTTCACATATATCTGCACCAGCATTGCCCTGACGCTCTCGTGAGTGCGCACGCAAGTATGAAATGGAGACATACGACTTACCGCACCCACAACAACAACACGTTTGCCTCGGAATCGCTCTGCGTCTTTATGGAAGTCGGAATGATACAAGGCTCCTTGAAATTCGTCCATTCCGTTCCAAGTATGAATGCGAGGGCTCCCGTATCCTGTGGCAAGTACCAGGTGTTTCGGTTTAAGGAATACTTTCTGGTCTCCGTGCTGGATTTCCACGGTCCATCTTGCGGATGATGAGTCGTACACTGGAGTTGAGGCTATGCTACTCGAGAGCCAGATACACAATTCCTGGTCCACAGCATATGAATCTAGGAAATTAGCAAGTTTCCCCTTAGGAATGTACTCGGGGAAGGTTGTCCTAGCATTACTGAGAAACATGATACCTTTGAACGGCGGAAAGTACATACGGATAGGGACTGTAAAGCACTTTGTATAGATTAGCCCCAAGCCTCTTATAGAAAGATGATAAGACGTACTGGAGTTGTGATATGTGGGGGTATGCAGCGTAAGGTTCGGGTACCTGTAGTTCGCATCTATAACAAAGAACATATCATCGCTATGTTGGCACATACCGTTGTCGCCAGGAGTCTCCGACACGCGCATTTTTCTCGATCACGAGCGCACGGATGCCCAACCTACGCAGCCGTGCTGCAGACATAAGGCCCGCTTGTCCACCACCAACTTTTTATCCTTGTCAAGTCATCATGATTAATGAGAGAAACTGCACAGCACCTATCAAAACAGTGGGGTCCGCCTCTATAGCACGGAATCTTGCGTCAACATCCTCCTCCCAGGTCATTTTTCGACCCTCGTATAAGCCGTGTTGATCTGCAGAAGACTCCTCATGCCCGACAAGGTCCTGCATGTTTGTGAAAAGAGTTAAAGCCTTCCACTTCCCATCGGCATCTTGCATCAGACGGAAGAAACCTCGTCCGAGTGCAGCTGGTTTCGTAATGATAAATGTGAAAGCACCTTGTACTCCTTTAATGTCTTGCGGACCTGGCATTTGCAATGGTGAAGGCGCATTGGCAGTGTGATCGTCTAGTTTGAAGTTACGAAGACCAGAATGCTCAAGTCGCGGCTTTCCATCAACCACCTCTGAGAGGAATCCGCGTATTTTTTCCGGACCTGATAGTGTCCTAAAATTCCAAGAAAAACACAGAAGATCTAAGAGAGAGAACACTCGTGAGTGTACCTCAGTTCCTTGGACAAGCACCGACCTCTGAACCACCCATCCGAAAGAAATGGCTCACAAATGACGTAGCATCTCCGGTGGACGACGCAACCTCTATGCTTTTGAGCCAGTCAGCGGAGATTGCATAAAGGTCCTCTGAAGCCATGTCGGTAAAGCAGTATGTAAGTAGAAACTAAGAAATGAGTCTCAACGTTTGTGAAAGAACCGCTATGACATTGACAGTACCTAAGAAACGAGTCTAGAGGCGAAATACAGTAAGAGAGAGCCGGCATGCAAAGTAAACGTGGAACATACCTCAGCGTTTGTGAAAGAACCGCTGAGGCACAAACAGTGCGATACAACGAGATTATAAGAGGGTCCAAACGCAGCGCCAAGCGGTCCAGACTAGTCCAGATTGATTTTATTGTTCGAGAACACGTAAGCCAAATAAAGCACTGGTGGAGCGCGCGCATGGCGTCGGCGAGAATTTCTTCCGCGGAATCAAACGCTCTGCTTATAATATGTAGATACAGTACAGAGCCGAAGTTTGAGTGAACCGAACCCATTGGCGCTGACTGAATAAACGTGCTGGAGACTAGCGCGGTCTAGCGCCGTTACGATACTGTATATTGCCATACATGTTCTTCTCATCTTTCCCCCGGTTCACTGATGCATAGTACATGAGGACCCAGAGAGAACACTGAATTACTAGAGCTTACCGAATATGAAACAATTCCAAGACAGGCCAACAAATAATATGAGCATGATGATCGATAACATGCTGAAAAGATGTCAGCCGACGTCGTGGGTAAAGAAAGAATACCCTTACTTCTCGAGTCCACTGCCGATCAGTGTGTAGCCAGCGAATCATGCTCAAACCAAACGTCATCACTGCAATCATGGCCAGCGTGAGTAACATAAAGAGCAGGAAATAGGTCGCGGGTGAGGAATAGTTAAAGTATGGCATAGGAGAACCTGTGGACAAGAAAACACAACTTGTCGCGAGAAGCAGGCTCGCCTTGTGAAATTTTGACTATTTCAGCGGCGACTTGAACTCGCAGAGTTGAATAGCTTGCTACGGAGATAGTGTTGGACAAGATAGAGCACAGCCTTTTCCTCACGTCCTTGAATCCCTCCTTGGATTGCAGTGACTCCTAGTAGTATTCACGATCGGGGCGTCCGAGTTGCCAAAAAAACAAAGTACTCTCGTTAAAGAGGACGTGTCACGGAAGGATGCGGGGATTATTTGCTCCTCTGTTAGCATTCATTCACCGGGACTCGGGAGTGTGAAAGCCTAGCATCCTAGTTCAGTTCGAGGCAGCGCACCTCCGGAAAATATTGTGGGGCCATGACGAACATCACGTCAAAGAGGAGCCTGAGAGTACAGGTGGGTTAATGCTCATCTCGATATTCGTACCTGTATGGGATTCGCTGTGTAGCGGAACTATGGTGAGCATCGCTAAGTCCACCACGAAGAAGTGTGCAAAATAAGAAATTCACGGTATATGATAATGTAGCATAACCCTCTAAGCTCTAATACACAGCCACTTGAAGCTATTACTGGCAGCAGACGGGCCGCAGTGGCACCGGAGGTGTGAGATTTGATTATTCAAGTTGTGCGCGTCTCCAATGTCCATGTCGTTGGTGGGCGCTGCCAGGGCATTTGGTCATTGGTCAACGTCTTTTGACATGACGTCGACGGCCGAGCCCGTGCATTTGAAAACGCTACGTCTCCATTCTATTACATAATTAACTTCCCCAACCATCTTCACCCAACCATTTCCCCCATATAATCATCTCTCATTCCAATTGTACCTCCGAGTCCATCGGCGATGTTGAATTTGATGATTCCGAATACATTGACGCTTGACGGAGACACCTTCAATTTGAGACTATCTTGATAGAAGCCTCATCAACTTTCCCCCCTGCCGCTACTAGTTGCCCAGTCTAATCCCTGCGATTGACCCCCCCACGCATTCAATCACTCATCGCTCGAAGAAGCTTCCTGTCGAGCTGTCTACCCACCACTGCGGCTCCCTGCCCACGAACTTGGTAAGTTCATCAACCTGCTTCTGAGTTGGGCGCTGGCGATAATTGCCAGGTTGGTCGCTGAAGATGTACAGCACATTAACGAGTTCGCCGTCCATGCATTCCACTGGAACTATCTGCCCGGGAGGTAGAGTTGCCTCACCCACACCCATCGAATAAATGCCGAAGTGTCTTGCAATTCCATAGATGGGGTCTACCTGGGCGCTGCTCCGGGCCTCCTGGGCGGGACGGTTGCGATGCACCTTGCCAAGGAAGGAAAGAGCCGTATCACAGAACCACCTCTTGGATACGCAGTAGCCATAGATCTGACAGTTGCGTTTCGGAGGTGGAAGGGTCACATTAATACGCTGCTGTCTGGACCATTTGGTATGTCCAGAATCACCCCCGTCTATCATTTTCGACTTCATCCAGCTGAGCAAGAGTGATTGAGATAGATGTCAAGAAACAATACCCAGATATACATGTATGTTACGCACAGCTTCATCGAGGTTTTGAAATTGTCGAGACATCTGTCTGACTCCGAGTTTGAGTTATGTTGTTGTTGGTTGGCTGTTGAATGAGGCAGACCCAATTGTGAACCGATGATTTCCGACCCAACTCCGGAGTCTCCGACCCCACACCTCTACCAGTGAAAACCTACAAGTCATATTCAACAGAATGGGAGGACCAGGTGAGTTGAGATGTAATACCAGGCCCAGTTGGATATATGCGCACTTGTCGGAAACTTGCAAAATCAGACGAGAATGCGCCACTCGAGTTGCTGCCACTACACTTATGTCGACGCCATACAAGACCTAGTGCAAACCATGTTCTATGTATGTATCATCAAAACAAACAATACTTGAGCCCTCTCCTGCATTTTGACTGCAGCATCAAGCTTTCAAGGCTCCTGTTAATGCTCCTCGATTCATCAGTGTATCTCGGAGGACGTTTACATAGAGGCACAGACAGAAACGAGAAAGAATTCTGACGTACCAAAGGCTCTTGCGCCAGTAATTCGACCATTCGAATTAAATATTGATATATTTGAAGTAGTAAAAGCCACTAACTTAACACTTCTATACTGTTACAAACCAAACATGCAGTACCCGAAGTGTCGTCCAGCCCGTCATTGGGCTGAAATTTACTGTACATCCACACAAGCGCTAAAGATTCCAACACATTAAAGAGGCGAAAAGAAATAGTAGAAATTCCTGACGGTGTCCAGATCATTGTGATCTGAGGCCTTTCACATACCTCCACGCGAATTCTGTCAACATTGCCCCAATACAGACAACGTATATGACGAGCCAGAGCGCGGTGAGGATGCGGCAGACAGTATTTTCGAAGTGAAAGCCTGCTGTCAACATCGCTGAGGACGAAAATAGTACATGAGGACCCAGAGAGAGCACTGAATTACTGGAGCTGACCGAGTATGAAATAATTCAGGGACAAGCCAACAAATAATATGGGCATGATGATCGATAGCAGGTAGGTAAAGAGGAAATAGCCGCCCGACCTGAGTTGCTGATAAGATGTCAGCCGATATCGTGGGGTAAAGCAAGAATATCCTTACTTCTTGAGTCATTGCCGGTCAGTGTGTAGTCAGCGAATCATGCTCAAACCAGATGTCATCACTGCAATCATGGCAAGCATGAGTGACATAAAGAGCAGGAAATAAGTCGCAGGTGAGGAATAGTCGAAGAACGGCACAGGAGAACCTGTGGACACGAAAACACAGCTTGTCGCGAGAAGCAGGCTCGCCTTGTGAATTTTCGAGTATTTCAGCGGTGGCTTGAACTCGCAGAGTTAAATAGCTTACTACGGAGATAGTGTTGGACAGGATAGAGCACAGCCCTTTCCTCACGTCCTCGAATCCTTGTTTGGATTGCAGTGACTCCCAGTGGTCTTCAAGATCGGGGCGTCCGAGTGCCAGAAAACAAAGTACTCTCGTTAACGAGGACGTGTCACGAAGGGATGCAGGGATTGTTTGCTCTTCGTGGAACGTAAAAGTCTAACGTCCTAATTCAGTTCTATGACAGCAAATCTTCGTTTTCAAACACACCTCCGGAAAATACTGTAGGGCCATGGCGAGCACCGCGTCAAAGAGGACAGCAGAGGTGGATTGATTCCACGTCCAGACATGATGCAGACTTTTTGTAGCACGCAGATGCCCTGCGTACGCCGTATACTATGACATTGTCTTTGAAGTCATCCGTCCACGTCGGGGGCGCGGCAGTCCTGTCTTCCATAAGTACTGCGGACCTCCTTCCACTCGGCTTAAGACTCTGACCGGTTTGCCATCCAGGTATTTTCCCACGGTTTGGTTGAGCTCAGTATGTTGAGACTGATTTCACACACATAATTCTATAGGTCGTGTATTTACATTCGCTATGTAGAACATACGATATGTGATAGCGACCTCATAGTAATGAACATTAATCTAGTGCAAACCATGTCCTATGTATCAATATCCAGGAGGAAACGTGGCGTCGCATTCATCAACTGAAACATCAGATACAACTGCACGCGCCCACTAAAAAGCGAAAGCCCTAGGACAAGAGACGGGGTGGTACCTGTAGACGAATCAGTAATAGACACATGTTCTATGATCCAGGATCTCCAAATGAGAGATGTGAATATCATTGGCAGCCAGTACAGGCCACGTTACAAGGATGAATACAGAGGCCCAAACCGGAGATGTAATCGAGATGGCGACAACGCCAGACGTGCGGAAGATCAGGGTGGACAATGCTGCAGCAAAGAACGTCATTCTGTCGGGGAATGAGCTACTAACCCTTTGAATGTAACCGGAAACGCACCCCCAAATCAAAAGAGCAAACGGTAGACTGAGCATGAGGGCAAGGCTCTCAAGGCCAAGCATAGAATGCGACATTCCTACCATGAAAGAGGCCTGTACACGTAAACAATACAGATAAAACAATCAAAAGAAAAACTTACCACAGCTTCGGCGGAGCCTCGCCGGCTGTCATTAACTTGTCCAGCCAAGATCAGCGAGACCAATAGCGAGCCCATAGCGCAGAGGGTAGACAGATAAGTTAGAATGATTGCAGACGGTTGAGCCTGGACAAATGAGACTCCGAGAAAGCTGATATCAACAGCAAGCATCACAGTGGACTGAGATGGTCATTCATTGCTCAAACATATTATAAAGAACACATGACTCACAAAATATTGTATACCCATTCCATTCAGTAGTGAGCCTATCAATAAAATTCTTCCACCGCGGCTGAACGATGGTATCGTCGACCCATATCCTGTGAAGAGCCTTGCTCTGTGCATCAGGGGATCCAAACAGCATTACATTCATGAGACGAAGAAAAATCCTTTTCGGGCGGGTGATGGATTCTCGGTATAATGATTGGTCTACGTTCAGTCGAGCACCTGGTTGCCCACAAAAATTCACAAACTTGGCGTTACCTAGCAAATAAATCAGGAAAGGGGATTCGTGAACCACTGGGCTGAGCTTACAGAAAAGTCTCATCAATCGAGCTGAAATAAGCCAATATATCAGAAGCAATAAGCTAGGATTTCGCGATCAGATTTACCGACGATCCACACTGAATGTTCACGCTCCTTGTGAACACTATCATCGGTATCACTGTCTGAAAGATAATCAACACACGACCTCACGCATCAGACACATGACTCACTCATGAGAAGATCACAAGGCTGAGCATACTTGCAACCTCATCCGCAGCAAAAGGGGCAAGGCAGGTCTCAGAAGTGATATTTTCTATGACGAGTCAATCTTGTAGGGAATGAAACAACCCATTGGCCTTACTCACCTGCGTGAGCATGCATGACAATTTCTTTGAGTTTCATGACGACATCTTTCGGAAGGGAGCGTTTGTTTGGAAATAGCTCGACGTGTCTCCTGTCCGGATTCGTGGTATGTAAATCGTGGGAGGTACAAGAGAGCTCTGTAACAAAGTGAGCACATTTATTTCAGCCCTGTAAGGGGAATGCCTACTTCTAAAAGTCGTACGAACCAATACTGTGATTCTAGTGCATATCCTGGGAGCGACATATTCACAGATGCTTAAATGAAAAATAATCTACGAAAGAACTCACTGATGTGACTTTTGCGCTCTACACCGCGAATGTTACACATGAGCAAATCGGATTTGTGGTCTTGGAACCAGAAAATGACACGTTTTTCGTGATCAACAAAATAGTAGCCACATTCTTCATTGCCCTTCTCCATGAGCTCCAACACTAACTCGATGGATGGGTGCAAGAAGATGTTTGCGTTGCGCGCTTCTTCGTATGCTTTCTCAAGAGCTTTGCCTATCCTTACAGCTGTTTCAGGGTTTCGAACATTAGCGTCAGTGAAAACTCTCTGGTGGGGCGATGAGTCAAGTCATTAGGAGCGGGCGGCAGACACACTTTAGATAGGTGGTAGAAGAATGAAGCCCCTTCAGGTGCGTGAGCGGCTCCCACCCTACTACCACAGCAAGCTCCCTACGAATCCATTTGAATACTGTTGCTGGCTCTCACACCAACATGCTTACTCGGAACAGTCCAAAGGACCTTTCTTAACCTCAAATGGCTCATCCTTGTCTTGACTGTGAGTATGGATTAGATCAGCAATTGCTCGACAAACATGATTTGCATACATGTACATTCCTCTCGTATCGACTGACCTGTGGTTCGGGTACAATGGGAGTGAGAACGATATCAAAAGAGTGTCCCGACGCCGCGTTATCCAATTCTTGGTTGAGCTCGGGAGTTGGAAATTGAATGTTCGTTATAGGTGCTTCAAGAAACAGTGGCACTGCGAGAGTCACAGGAGCCGTCCTCCCATCTTGGTTGGTCACTGGCTGAGAGCTCAATGCTAAACTGTGTTCCCGATACGATCTCTCCTTTCTGTTACGACGGATTGGCAGTGTCGAATCATTCGCAGGAGAACAGAGAGGATATTCTGTAGGACTTGAATGCGGTTGTCTTGACAGTGAGCCTCAGCCAGGAGAGAATATGCGGATGTATGAGCATTCTTTCTGCATGATAACCAAGGACCCGAACACGAAACTAGAGAACTTTGTCTTGCTACTAAGCTAGCCTGATGGAA